ACATGCAGCGCGTCTCCGAGAGCAACGAGCTCTTGCACGAGGTCTTGGCCTACCTGGGCGTGCGCGACCTCGGGGCTGCGAGTCATGTATGCTTACGCTGGTACCTCCTTGGCAGCCACGAGGTGCTCTGGGCGGCCTTGGCGTCGCGCGCGGTGCTCGGGCCCGAGACGGGCGCGCTGCGTGAGCTCCTCGGGCACAAGGCCTACCTCCGCCAGCTCGCCCGCGCCCGTCGCCAGCTGCCCCACGACGGCGCGGTCGATTTCGTTGAGAGCGCTGCGTGGCCGCGGTTTGTACAGATGCACGTTCCATGAGCTGACGGCCTGTAGGCTCTGCGCCAGGGACAAGTGGCTGGCACGGACCTTCCTTACAAGCTCGCTGGACGCGCTCACGCATGCAAACAAGGCACCCGAAGACCCTGTGTATCCGCCGCAATCGGATCTCTCGAGCCTGCTCTGCGCCTACGCCGATCTGCTCGAGGAGAACTTTTCCGACTTGGCGGCTGCTGCGGCCTTGCTTCGGCGGGCGATTCCAGGCAGCTCCGACCCTGCGCGCCTTTGGCACAACCTCGCGCTGCTAGAAGACAAGCGAGGCGACCTCGATGCGGTATGGCTCAACGACAAAAACACGAGCCTCAGGCGGGAACAACGGTAGGCCGAAGCAGCGTTCCGAGAGGCACACGCCGCCGACCCGCGCTACCAGCGCGTGCTCTGCAACTACGCCGTCTTCCTCGACGAGCGTCGGCAGCGCTTCGAGGCGGCGCGCGCCATGTACGAAGTCGCGCTGGCAAACGACCCGACCGATCTCGACGCCTACGCAGCCTTTGCCGACTTCTTGACGTTCAAGCAGCCCGACCTCGACCGCGCCGAGGGCCTCTTTCGTAGCGTATGGAGCGTGTCCTTACGGACATCAATAGTTTGTACTCTCCGCGTAGGCCCTGCGTCACTTGGCGACGTTATCAATGCCGTTGGAGGACGGCCAAGATCTCAAGATCGTCATTCAATTCGCAGAGTTCCTTGCGTACGTCCAGCAGGACATGGCTGCCGCGACGCCGATCTATCGTATGCTGCTGCCACGTCACAAGCGCGAGCAGACACGGCCCACGCACGCAAGGGTTCACTTGCTGCTCTGCGTCGGTCTCTTGAGTTATGGTAACCATTTTACGTCATTCGTGTCTGGCATTCTGTGTAGCGATGGCCAGCGTATTCGCTTCCAACGACCATGTCTTGGGGCGTCAGTTGGTCGTGGAGGCCATGACGCTTTCTGTTTACCAGAGCAGCGACGACCCACTCCTGCTTCGCTACAAGCGCACGGCGGCGTGCGTTGTCCACCACGATTTCTCACCAACGACGGTGGACGTCGAGGCGCTCGGGCCACTTGCCGGCCTTCTTCTCTACTTGGCCGGTGACATGGCAAGCGCGGTGCAGCTCTGGGCAAAGTGCATCGGTAGCCTCGACAGCGTCCATCAGCGCGAGTACGCCTTTGCCGGGTGGGATACCAGGTATCTATAGGTTCTTACGGTTAGCGTAGGTATTGTTTGGGCGTGGTGTTTCACTTGCGAGGCGGGCCGGCCAAGCGTCCGTTGGCGACGCAGGTGCTGGCAAAAGCACTAAACAGTGACGTCCATGGCGTCGAGCTCCGCAACGTTTGCTTTCTGCTGCGCGAGTACGTGCGCTGCACTCATAATAACGCTGCAGCAGGGGCATCGGCCTTTCTCGATGTCCTCACCCAGTATGACTTGGCACATCAGAGTCACGCAAACCAGTAGAAGATATGCTGTACATATTAGCAAAGAGCGTCATGCCGATAACCAATATGACGCTCTACATGCTGGTCCGGCCCAGA